GCTCTTTATAGATCCGACGTAGCACTGGTTGTACGACAGGCTGCTGGACACGTGTGGAAAATCGTTGTTGCTAATACTCCACGTACGCTCAAGGAAATTATGAAAGTGCTATTTGAAATGGTAAGTTCTCGTTTTTAGGCGCCAACGTTCACTGCAAAATCTGTTCTATCTGAATGATCGTACATCAAGCTTTTAGTCTTTTCTGTTATGGCCAACGTTTCGGTACTATTGCCTTTAAGCCCTAGGCTTTGACGAGGCGATAGTGCCGAAACGATGGCCATTATAAAGAAGAGTTAATATTTGGTGTACGCTTATCTATTCAAAGTAGCTGCCATTCTCACTTCAAGTTTATGAAGCTTAGAAGACATTGCAAGTTCATTTTAGGTGGTTGATTCTGTGGCGTCCCCGTGCGAAGAGCGACAGCAAATGGGTGCTAGATGTTTAGGTGAACTGGTTAGAAAGATGGGTGATAAGATTATCAACGAGGTAATGCTTTCTGTTTTTTCCCGTTAGAGTCCGACTATGTTCACCTCTCAGGTTCTACCAGTGCTAGAAATGAATCAGAAATCTGAAGATCTTGAGAAGCGTGTTGGAGTGGCTGTTGCTCTACATGAAATTATGGATAACATTACAAAGGTAATGGTATCTTTGTTATATATTTCTTTCTTGTAAAATGACTATTAATCTTTTTTTTGAGGATGTTCTTAGTCATTATCTGGAGAGTTTGGTGATGCCAGTTCGCAATGCTATCTGCGATCCATCACCTGTGGTACGAACAGCGGCTGCGGATACGTTTTCGGTGTTGTATCAGGCAAGAATAGAATGATTTTTTTTTGAACGAAAACCTAGAAAATCCTATGAAAAAAATAAGAGTTTGATGCCTTCCTACTCTCCTAAGGTTTCTACATCGTTGACGTTTTGCATTCAGATGGTTGGTCACGAAGCATTGGATGAAATCATCACACCATTGCTCGAAAAACTTACACCCGAAAAAGAAGATGTTTTAGCAGGATTGTGCGAGATAATGAAGCAGAATAGCAGGTAACATTTCTCTATAAGACCTTGTTCTAACATTATCAGATTCTTGCTTATTGAAGACAAATGCTGCCGTATTTGTTGCCACGTCTTACCCGACCACCAATCAAT